CTGCCTGAGCTCCGCCTGCCCGCCCCGGCCAAGGCTGGGACCCGGTCACCCACCGCCACCCAGGAGTCACCCCATCTGGGGACGAGGATGCTCGGGAGAAGCCCAACCCGCTGCACGCAGAGACAGGAGGAGCAGCAGGTACCAACAACCCCGTCCCTCGGCTCTTTCGGTGCCCAGCACCGTACCGTGGGGCTGGGGCTGATGCCGTGGTGCCCCCGGGGTTCGCTATCAGCGTTGGGGCAGAATCCGGCCGATCTGCTGCGCAGCCGGAGGTGACGATGGGCCGAGAAACCCAGGAGGGTGGCAAAGTCTGGCAGGCCCTGCCTGTGCCGTGCCCGAGCCCCGAGCCCGGCTGCCCCCACGTTACCTACAGAGGACTCTCCTCGTTGAAGCTCACATCGCAGAAGAGCCGGGACGAGCGCTTGCCCGTCCGGGCCGTGAAAGGAACAGTTTTCAGAGCTGAGCACAGCAATCCAGAGAGACAGCGAGGAGGAGGAAGAGAGGGGAGGAAGAAGCAGAAGAGGAGGAAGAGCTATGAGACAGGGCAGAGAGTGTTCGGCACCTTTGGGATGGGTTTGGTCCCCACGATGGGGCTCGGTGGCCCTCTAGCTCCCGGCTGTGACAGCCCCCCACAGCCCCCCATCACCAAGGGTCTCCCCTCTGGCATCGAGTGCTGCAGGGGGGATGCCCGGCCGCTCACCTGAAATAATGTCCTCGATGGCCCCGTCTTTGCCTTCATAGATGAGCGGCTCCTTCACCATCTGCCTCTTCTTCAGCTCAGCGATCATGTCCATCTGCTGCCGCCTGGCTTTCTGGATGGGCAACTGGGGTTGGGGACAGCACGGGGTGAACGGTGGGGCCTCCCACCGCACCCCGAAGGAGATGGGGTGCCCTCATCTTCGCTCCCCACCCAGCCCTCCCTCACCAGGACCTGTTCTGCCCTTCCCCACCACGCAGCCCGCTCGGGGCTGGAGCCGGGCTGCCCCACCAGGGCAGAGACAAGTGGGGCACTTTCACCTCGGGCTGGTCCTCGCTGCTGGATTCTGCCTCTTTGGCCGCAGCCTCCTGTTTCTTCCACAGCTCAATGTCCTGCTCTGCTTTCTTGGGAGAGGCACAAGGAGGGTGGGCTGAGCTGGGGGGTCCTGCTGCGGGACCGCAAACCCCCTCTTCCCTCCCCTTGGCAGCCCCCAGCTCGCCTCAACCCAGCTCCAGCACCTCTGACCGCCTGGAAGGGCAGCACCCAGCCCCAGGGTTTCTCTGCCCCATGAACCCCCAGTCTCGCCTGTGGCTTTTGCTGATTACCCCAAAGCGGGGCCAGAGCCCCCCCAAACCCAAATCCCCTCCCAGCCCTCAGAAACAGGGCACCCCCCTCCCCTCCTACCTTGTAGGCTCTGATGAAGCGCATGAACATGGGGAAGAAGGTGGTGGGGGGACTTGTCTTGGGGTTCTCCCCAAAATACTCCACAGCCGACTCATACGCCTCCTGCGGGCAGAAACACCCCAATCCGGGGGGCTGGGGCCAGGCAGCAACACCCCATCGCCCACCACCTCCTTCTAGCCTCTCCCACCTCA